AGGATCAGTCCCTCAGGTGGTGCTGAGCGCTGGAGAGCCGGCGGGGAGCGAACCTGAGGGAAGCCTGAGGAGGGCCGCGGCCCTCTCCCTGCTGGCTACGGGGCTCTCTCCGCTTGCTTCCCTGAGCTTCCATTCCCTCATGCACCAGCAGGGATGCAGCCCTTGCCTGGCCTTCCTCAGAGGCGGGGTGAGGAACGACGAAAGATGCTAATACTGGCAAAAATGCTAAACCAGCTACGGAGCACTTTGCAAACTGTGGAGGGCTGTGTGAAGCCAAGACCCGGTTCTTAGATCAGAGTCCAAGGGTCCCGATTCTAATTTTGCCCAGCTTTGGAGAACGGCCCGGGCGGGATCTCACCTGTGGCCCTGCGTGAGCTGGGGGGTGGGGGGGCATCCTCGCTGCCCCCTCTGAGCAGCAGTGGACCGCTCCTCTCCCGTAGGCACGAGCGCCCTTCCTCGTGGCGTCACTTGGCCTTTGGAAAGACCCCGTTAAACTAGCGCGCTCAGCTGTGGCTTTTTCATTGAATAATTACTCAGTTAAAGGTGTGTTTTTTATTGAACATCCCTGATACCTTTATTGGTCTTATTAGAGTAACCAGCATAATAAGGAAGAACAATTATTTAAATGCTCATTAAAAAAAAAAAGGAACAACCCCTCATGGTGGAGGGAGACTCATCCGTTGCAGGAGGGTCCAGTTGCCGGTCGGTCCCCAAGCGTCACTGTAAGAAATGATGTTTCCTCACTGTGAACAGGTTTTCACTTCCCTGGAGCCTCTCATGCTTGAGGCAGGCTGCATGAAAATTCCTGGTGGGTTTTATTACTGCCAGATTTAAACATGCACCGCCAGGTTCAAGGATGGATACTATACAAACCCCACTCATAACATCTGCGTCATGCTCGATGTTCAGTGTGTGTCCCCATGCAGGATCTCACTGGGTACCCCCAGCCGTCTTTAAAGGCAGGTATCTTATTCCCATTCTACTGATGTAGAAATCGAGGCCCAAAGAGGTTGTGATTTGAGTGACCTCACCGTGCTGGGAACATCAAGGCAGAGGTAGGGTCGCCCAGGCCCTCGTAACTAGAGACGGCAGGGAGGGTTTCCAGGTTGAGAAAATCGTAAGAACTCCCTTTAGAGCCAGGAGAGCAAAGAAGATCCAGTCTGGGTTTCTGCCAACTGAGAGTAAAAGCGTCTGAGGAAGGAAGCAAGCAAGCAAAGACAGACACGGGCCCTGGGTTCTGAGCTGCCAAGCCTGATTTCGTGATCGAAGCGCAGCTGACATTTCTAGGTCTGTAGGCTGGGTTTGATGTTGCTGGTACGTCACTTCAAAATATTATAGGCATCCACCGATCACGTGGCACCTCAGCAGCCACGCGGGGCGCGTGGTGGGAGTGGATCCTGTCTGGGTCGCTGGCTAAGTGGTCTCGTGGAGCTGCCAGCTTACCTCTGGGCAGGTGGCCCTGAGCTTGAGGAGGGGGTCACGTCCGGTCCTGGGACGGGGAGGGGGCCAACCCTCTCGCCAGGGGTCTTCCATTGCATTTAAAAATGAGCTGTCCGTGAATGGTGTGCTGTGAGTGTAAAATATTTAGTGAGTTTTTGAATAGAAAAATGTTCTGAGTGGCTCTTCAAAGACTTCTGACATTGTTCACTTGTTAAAAGTGAGCAGCCCTAGTGCTCAAGGCTACTTCTAGGCAAGAGAGAACCATGAAGTGGTAATATGGAAATGAACATTTTATTAAGGGAAAAAAAAGAAAAAGCTGGGGGAGAGTGGAAAGAGAGTTGTCTAGGGAGGGCCTTTGAGGGCTGTGAGATTTAAAAAAAGTCAGAAGCTGTCAGATCCTGGGAAGGCCGTCGCCTGCAGTGAATCTGGCCATCGTGCGAGGACAGTTTGGGAACCAAAGCAGTTCGGGGGTGTGGGAAAAGAAAGAGCTCACCCCGGCATGAGCAGTGGCTCTGAGATCCTATTTGATGGACACATAGCTCTTCCCCACCTGAGGGTGAATTACGGACAGGTAACTTCCTCCGTTGGCTGCTCCAGAGTTTTAGAAGTGTCTTTTTTTTTTTTTTCATTTTTTCCTTCTTCTTTTTTTTTTTTAAACAAGAAGTGGAAACATCTGAGCTCTTTAGAACATGTAGCTACAGGCTTCCCAGCAGCTGCCATTTTGAGTTAAAAAAATGTTTTAATCGGCCATTTCGGCTGAAGAGGATTCTTTATTCCTGGCCTGCCGGGGAATTCTGCATTTTCTTCTGATATCTGCATTCCTCACCAGCAGTAGAACTTTCTAGAAAATATGTGGCCAGCAGAACAAGAAACAGGAAATGCTCTGGAGTTGAAGCCCAAGGAGATGAAGATGAAGAACAAAGAGATCGGGGAAAAGGGGGTGGGGTCCCACTTAAAAAATGAAGAACCAGAGCATCTGTGTACCATAAATCGATTAATTAGAGTTTCCAAAAGCCAAGGTGAAGGGTACCGAAACGCTCTTTAATTCGAAGATCTACGACCTTGTAGGATGTGGCACTTCATTTGTGTTATTAGCTCCGTGTCAGAAAGGGACATTTTATTTATCCTCTTGTTATTTATTACATATTTATTCTGCCTTGCTCTAGAAGAGGATTTCAAGAGGACTCTAAATATTGTGGTTTCTGGCCAGCTCTCTTGTGCGGCAGTCTGAGGCAGAGGGCTCCGTTCGCCCAAGTCCATTAACTAATCAGCTAGGCAGGAGGTGTTTTCTCTGCCAGCTGAGGGGTGTGCCGGAAGGGAAGGCCCACGGTTGGTACCACCGTACAGCGGGCGCCCCATGCGAAACACGGCGGCCCAGGGCCTTGGGAGGCCTCCCTGTCGTTTTCCAGGCGGGGAAAATTCCCCTCGGGGACTCCAGCGTGGGGAACTGAATTGCCCAGACGGACTGGGTACACCGGAGAAAGAAAATTGCCTCAGAAGTTCTCCTTGAGCTGTTAGCAAAAGCAGAGTGAAGCCGAACCTCACAATTCTTTTTTCCTCTCTGTCCTTCCCCCCCCTGCCCACTGGTCTCCTTACCACCAAACACGCAGACACAGACTAGGAGCCGGGAGTGAACGGATCACTATGGGGCACCACACTCCTAAAGCCTGTCTTGGTTTCCAAAGGAGGTGGGTGTTCTGGCCCAGTTGGTTCTGGGGTCTGGGTAGGATCTCCACCCTGCCTGCTGGACGGGCTGGTCCCTTTCTGTGACACCTCAGGCCCTGAGTGGGGCGGGGAGGTCTCTGCCCTCTGAAGCTGTCCAGCCGAGCCTGTGAACATTGGATCCTTCGGTCATTTGGTTTTTACAGCTAAATGTGAAGCCCCCGGAAACATAACTTGTGTACGGAAAACAAAAAATAAATCTCTGTGCAGGATTTCGGAAGGTCTTTTGGGGAGAGGCTGAGATGGGGGCGGTCTTCTCCACTCTGCACCCTGCTGTATTCTCAGGTCACCTTCTGATTTGGGGTCTGGAAATTAATTTGCAGCTTTGGCTTCACCAGGGAGTCTGCGGCTACCATACTTCATCAGCATTAAAACCTTCCAGGTACAGGAAAGTTTGAAAAAACAAAAGGGGTTTTTCAAGATCTGGGCTGTGATGTCTTGTTCTCTGTTCCCTCCCTGGCTAGCAAGCGAATCTCATGGCAGAAAGCAGGGCCTGCCCGCACCTGCCCCTTTATAGAGAGCATTAGGAGCAACCCAGACTGGAAAAGCAGCAGGCTGCCCCCGGAGGTTGAGGAGGGCGGCCCCGAGACAGGTTCTGGATGAAACGTTCAGCCTCCATTTTCTGACTGCCTCAATGATGGACAAAGACTAACGTTTTTGGCTCAGTGCCACAAGTGTCCACTAAGATTTGGTCCCGATGTCACCAGAGCCAGCATGTAACAGATCCACACTTGCCACCGTTCATTCGACCGCCCCGTCAGATTTGACATTCTCCCATTCAGGTAGCATTCCGGCAAAGGTCTTCATGCTTGTCAGTGGCCCCCGCTCCCTCCCGCCCAGGGGCCTGCGGAGGCCAGATTCCATGGGGTGGGTAGGGGTGTGTGTGAGGCCAGAGGGGGCATCGGAGGGCAGTGGGCTTCCTAACATGCTAAATTCCTTCTGCTCCTATATGTTCATGTGTAAATTTGACAGTACTTTCGGCATGTATGCTGGTGTGTGAAACCCTCGTATTTCCTATAGCTGAAATCCCAAATGATGCAGAGGTATCAGCCATTTCTCTTTAAAAAAATGTTTGCCAGGCAATTGGGTTTGACTTGTGTTTTTTAGAACCCCCTTGGATCAAATATTGCCTAATCACTGGTTCTGAAGCTGAGGGGGAGCCGTGAGCTGCGGTTTTGCCCCCCAGGGGACATTTGGTTGGGCCTGGAGAGATTTGCGACCCTCCTAACTGGGGGAGGGAGTGCTACTGGCTTGTACTGGGTAGAGGCCAGGGATGCTGCTGAACATTCTACAAAGCACAGGACCCCCCCACCCGCACCCCAGAATCCTCCTGGTCCAAATGTCAGTAGTGCCTTGGTTGACAAACCTTGGTCTGTCATGGTTGCAGGTGTCCCGGCTGTTCTGTCGTTGACATCACGCATTCTCACAACACCGCCTCATTTGGCTTCTGAGATGATGGGGATAAGAGCAACTTTTCTTTAGGGGAGCAAGCCGAGGTCTAGGAATTGGGGGTGCTTGCTGAGGTCGTGTGGCCGATCTGGGCTTTGCCGGGGCCACCTGCCCACAGAGCCAGCTTCTTCAGCTCTCCAGTCGGGTGGGGTCTTGGCCCGCCGGAGGGTCCGACACGTCGCCGGCCCTGGCCCGCTCCGAAGGGCGCCCCCCCCCCCCGCCTCGGGGCCGCCTTCCAGGGCCACCTTCCGGAGCCGCGCGGATCCAGGACTCGCTTCATGCCCGCCCCCCCCCCCCCCGCGCGCGCCTTCAGGTCAGTGGCCCCGCCGTGCGCGCGCCCCGTCTGCTTCTCACGCTCTCTCTGCCTTTCTGTCCGTGTGTCTCCCCAGGTAAAGATGAGCCTTCCAGCTACATTTGCACAACATGCAAGCAGCCCTTCAACAGCGCGTGGTTCCTGCTGCAGCACGCGCAGAACACGCACGGCTTCCGCATCTACCTGGAGCCCGGGCCGGCCAGCAGCTCGCTCACGCCGCGGCTCACCATCCCGCCGCCGCTCGGACCCGAGGCCGTGGCCCAGTCCCCGCTCATGAATTTCCTGGGCGACAGCAACCCCTTCAACCTGCTGCGCATGACGGGCCCCATCCTGCGGGACCACCCGGGCTTCGGCGAGGGCCGCCTGCCCGGCACGCCGCCGCTCTTCAGCCCGCCGCCGCGCCACCACCTGGACCCGCACCGCCTCAGCGCCGAGGAGATGGGGCTCGTCGCCCAGCACCCCAGTGCCTTTGACCGAGTCATGCGCCTCAACCCCATGGCCATCGACTCGCCCGCCATGGACTTCTCGCGGCGGCTCCGCGAGCTGGCGGGCAACAGCTCCACGCCGCCGCCCGTGTCGCCGGGCCGCGGCAACCCTATGCACCGGCTCCTGAACCCCTTCCAGCCCAGCCCCAAGTCCCCGTTCCTGAGCACGCCGCCGCTGCCGCCCATGCCCCCCGGCGGCACGCCGCCGCCGCAGCCGCCCGCCAAGAGCAAGTCGTGCGAGTTCTGCGGCAAGACGTTCAAGTTCCAGAGCAATCTCATCGTGCACCGGCGCAGCCACACGGGCGAGAAGCCCTACAAGTGCCAGCTGTGCGACCACGCGTGCTCGCAGGCGAGCAAGCTCAAGCGCCACATGAAGACGCACATGCACAAGGCCGGCTCGCTGGCCGGCCGCTCCGACGACGGGCTCTCGGCCGCCAGCTCCCCGGAGCCCGGCACCAGCGAGCTGGCCGGCGAGGGCCTCAAGGCGGCCGACGGCGACTTCCGCCACCACGAGAGCGACCCGTCGCTGGGCCACGAGCCCGAGGAGGAGGACGAGGACGAGGAGGAGGAGGAGGAGGAGCTGCTGCTGGAGAACGAGAGCCGGCCCGAGTCGAGCTTCAGCATGGACTCGGAGCTGAGCCGCAACCGCGAGAACGGCGGCGGCGGCGGGGTGGCCGGGGTGGCGGGCGCGGGCGGCGCGGGCGGCGCGGCCAAGGCGCTGGCCGACGAGAAGGCGCTCGTGCTGGGCAAGGTCATGGAGAACGTGGGGCTGGGCGCGCTGCCGCCGTACGGCGAGCTGCTGGCCGACAAGCCCAAGCGCGGCGCCTTCCTGAAGCGCGCGCCGGGCGGCGGCGACGCGGGCGACGACGACGACGCCGGCGGCTGCGGGGACGCGGGCCCGGGCGGCGCGGTCAACGGGCGCGGCGGCGGCTTCGCGCCGGGCGCCGAGCCCTTCCCGGGCCTCTTCCCGCGCAAGCCGGCGCCGCTGCCCAGCCCCGGGCTCAACAGCGCCGCCAAGCGCATCAAGGTGGAGAAGGACCTGGAGCTGCCGCCCGCCGCGCTCATCCCGTCCGAGAACGTGTACTCGCAGTGGCTCGTGGGCTACGCGGCGTCGCGCCACTTCATGAAGGACCCCTTCCTGGGCTTCACGGACGCGCGCCAGTCGCCCTTCGCCACGTCGTCCGAGCACTCGTCCGAGAACGGCAGCCTGCGCTTCTCCACGCCGCCCGGGGACCTGCTGGACGGCGGCCTGTCGGGCCGCAGCGGCACGGCCAGCGGCGGCAGCACGCCGCACCTGGGCGGCCCGGGCCCCGGGCGGCCGAGCTCCAAGGAGGGCCGGCGCAGCGACACGTGCGAGTACTGCGGCAAGGTGTTCAAGAACTGCAGCAACCTGACGGTGCACCGGCGCAGCCACACCGGCGAGCGGCCGTACAAGTGCGAGCTGTGCAACTACGCGTGCGCGCAGAGCAGCAAGCTCACGCGCCACATGAAGACGCACGGGCAGATCGGCAAGGAGGTGTACCGCTGCGACATCTGCCAGATGCCCTTCAGCGTCTACAGCACCCTGGAGAAGCACATGAAAAAGTGGCACGGCGAGCACTTGCTGACTAACGACGTCAAAATCGAGCAGGCCGAGAGGAGCTAAGCGGGCGCCGCGCCCGCCCCGGTCCCGCGGCCCTTCGCCAGCGCCGGAGTGCTCGCCCGACGCTCGCCCCCGTGTCTGCGCCCCCTCGCCCCGCTCCGCGCGCGGGTCCCCCTCGGCGCGCGGTCCCCGGGGAGGCGGCCCTCCAACCTAACCCGTGTCTCCGAAGTCCTAGGGAAACCCGAGGGTTGATTGAGGCAGTAAACTATTGTGGAGCCTTTAACTGTGCAATAATTTCTGTATTTATTGGGTTTTGTAATTTTTTGGCATGTGCAGATACTTTTTATTATTATTCTTTCTGTTAAATTCTTTTAAGAGATTTTGTTGGGTATCCATCCCTTCTTCGTTTTCCTTTTTTTGTTGCTGTTGTTTTTGTTGTTTTCTTTTTTAACCCAGTAGCAGCCTGAGCAATGACTCCCAAGCGATATAGAAGGGAAGCTTATCTTTTAAATTATAATTTGGGGGGGGGAGGGCGCTGCTTTTTTGAGATTTAAGCTAAGCATGTGTAATTTCTTGTCAAGAAGCCAACACTTAAATGACTTTTAAAGTTGTTTACTTTTTTTTAATTCCTTCTTTTTTTTCTTTGGTCCTGAAATAAAAAGTGGCATGCTGTTTTTTTGGGGGGGGGGGAGGGTTGGATGTACAGCGGATAACAATCTTTAAAGTTGTAGCACTTTGTTTCAGAATTGGAATTGAGATGTAGCACTGATGATGTCCTGAGTAACAGAGGCCTTTCCTGTGTTTTCAACCTTTACATTATCTAAGGAATTTAGATAGTTTTAGTGGTGAGGGGGAGTCAGAGGTCCCTCCTCCCCCGGAAGACTCAGCACTGCCAGAGAAATAGGGGTTTTTGAGAGCTGCTGGGGAGGTGGCCCGAGAGCATCCTGCAGTTGTGCATCACCAGCAGATACGGTCCTTTTCTTGGAGTGTCCGCCTGCCCTGGGATGCCGTCTTTGCTCTTTGCTGTAGATGAGGGTAAATAAAATGGGCTGAGGGTACTCTTTTGGGTAGCTGGCGGTGACCTGCGGTGACACAGAAAAGAAGGAACCAGCCATGTTCTTTCAGGCTTCTTCTGGCTTGATGGCTTCTCTCTCTCTCTGTCTCTGTCTCTCTCTCTCTTTTCATCACCCCCCACCACAGAAATCCCAAGTCGCATGTTGCTACCAGTGATAATTGACCATGTCTCAAGCAGACAAGTGCCCCAATGAGGGGAACTGAGAGAAGGTAGTTTTCTCTCATTTAATGCACACTGATGACATTGTGCGGACGGGTGGGCGAATCTTGCGAATTTCTGTTCCCTTTTACTGGATAAGCAGGGAAAGCATTCCATCCGAAGGTGCCCAGCGCTACTTCCCAATTTTTTTTTTTTTTTCCTATCCCATTAGGTTGGAAGGTACTAAACATTGGACTGTTAAGATTAGACATTTGAATTCTGTTGACCCGCACTTTAAAGCTTTTGTTTGCATTTAAATTAAATGGCTTCTAAACAAGAAATTGCAGCATATTCTTCTCTTTGGCCCAGAGGTGGGTTAACCTGTAAGGGACGGCTGAGATTGAGTGTCAGTGTTGCTAAGCTTGGCATTCACAATACTGGCACTATAAAGAACAAAATAAAATAATTTATTGGACGGTTTTTCTACTGCCATTCAATTTGATGTGAGTGCCTTGGAAACTGATCTTCCTATTTGAGTCTCTTGAGACAAATGCAAAACTTTTTTTTTTTTTTTTTTTGGAAATGAAAAGACTTTTTGAAAGAGTAAAACAAGAAAAGTACATTCTTTAGACACAAACAAAGCCACATTTACTTTTAATTAAATTTTTAAAAATCCTGGTTGAAGATAGAGGACATGAAAATGCCATAAGACCCAATCAAATGAAGAGATAAGCCCAGCACAACCATGGACATCTTAGCTGAATTATCCTCAACCCCCTTTGTTTGTGGGACAACGCTGCTTAGATTTGGCGTGGAGGTGATTTACTGCTGAATTAAAACTCAAGTGACACAAGTTACACGTTGATATCGTTGAATGAAAAACAAAACACAAACAATTCAGGAACAACGGCTAATTTTTTTTCTAAAGTTAAATTTAGTGCACTCTGTCTTAAAAATACGTTTACAGTATTGGATACATACAAGGGTAAAAAAAAATTGTGTGTATGTGTGTTGGAGCGATTTTTTTTTCCAAGTTTGCTTACTAGGTTATAAAAAAATGCCACAGTTGGCTGCGTGTATATTGTTTTCTTTTTGGTGACGGGGTTTTAGTATATATTATATATATTAAAATTTCTTGATTACTGTACAAGTGGACCAGTATTTGTAATAATCGAGAATGCCTGGGCATTTTACAAAACAAGAAAAAAAAAAAAAACCCTTTTCTTTTCCTTGAAAATGTTGCAGTAAAATTTAAATGGTGGGTCTATAAATTTGTTCTTGTCACAGTAACTGTAAAGTCGGAGTTTTAGTAAATTCTTTTCTGCCTTGGGTGTTGAATTTTTATTTCAAAAAAAAATGTATAGAAACTTGTATTTGGGGATTAAAAGGGGATTGCTACACCATGTAGAAAAAGTATGTAGAAAAAAAAGTGCTTAATATTGTTATTGCTTTGCAGAAAAAAAATCACATTTCTGACCTTTACTTATTTTTCTCTCCCTGCCCCCTCTGGAATGGATATATTGGTTGGTTCATATGATGTAGGCACTTGCTGTATTTTTACTGGAGCTTGTAATTTTTTAACTGTAAGCTTGTCCTTTTAAAGGGATTTAATGTACCTTTTTGTTAGTGAATTTGGAAATAAAAAGAAAAAAAAAAAAAAACAAAAACAAACAGGCTGCCATAATATATTTTTTTAATTTGGCAGGATAAAATATTGCAAAAAAAAATTTGTATGTTTAGTCCTATTGTACAGGAGAAAAGGGGTTGTTTGACAACCTTTGAGGAAAAGAAACAAAAGGAAGTCGTTAAATGCTTTGGTTCACAAATCATTTTAGTTGTATATATTTTTGTCAGAATTGGCCTATACAAAGGACTGTTCGAGCAGGGCTTCTCTCGGAATGCCCCGAACCTTGCATCAAGGCTCCCTGGTGTGGCCACAGCAGACCGGATGGGAAATTCTTTATTCGTGTTGAGTGGAGAAGCCAGTTTTTGTAAAGATGTCGGTGTATTTCAGAGTCCTCTCGTTCTCTAAGAGGCCATCTGTAAGATGTCAGGTGTTAGAGGAGAGAGCGAGAGAGCATCTTCCTTCTCTACTGTCACCACTGTGGCGGGTCACCACGTCTCCCGCCCTTAGGAGCAGAAAGGAATGCAAACGGAGCTTTCTTTAGTCCTTGAGAAAACATGAAACAGACAGACAAAAGATGTAGTGAAAGGAGCTGGTGAATCAGCTAGGCACAGGTGACGTGAGCTGCTGTTGAGACCAGCGCAGATTGGATTTCAGGAAGGAGTCCCCGTCACAACCAGGGCCTTTCATTCCATGGAGAGTGTTGGCCTGTTGTCTTTCTTACCTGCTCTGCTGCTTTTCTCGCTGAAACCTACATTCCGTCAGTTTCCGAGTGCCGAGGGCCTGGGATGAATTCGGTGCCTTTCCATATCTCTCTCTCTCCTTCCTCTGTGTTTCCTCTCCATCCTCCAGCCTCTGTCAGCCCTTTATTTTGTCCTTTTCATTTTTACCCAATTGCATTTCTTTCTCCCTCTCTGTAGCCCCCCCCGTTCGTTCTTTCTTTTTTCCTTTTTTTTTTTTTTTTTTTTGTAAAGCCAAGTAGCTTTAAGATAATGAAGTGGTGGTTTTTTGGATGAGGGAATAATACATTAAAAAAAAAAACAAACCCTATATCAGGAAGCCATTTTTTATTTCAGGAACTGTAAAACCATTATTTCAGGTTATGAAAGTATAACCAAGCATCTTTTGGGGCAATTCTTTACCAAACGCAGAAGTCTTTCTTCTGGGAGCTTTTCTGTTCAGTACACCCTTCCCTCCTTGCCACTGACCTTTGCAAAGGGAGCAGAAAGGGGGAGGAGGGGAGAGGAAGCTGAGATGTCAGTTTCCTACCTGCCCGACCTGAAGACCCAGGGGCTGCCCTTTCCTTCGGATGCCCTGTTAAGGTACTTGAGCCTCCAAGGTGATCCTCCTGTAGTTGCGAAAGCTAGCCAGCCCTCACCAGCTTCCACAAAGTCACCAGAATGCCAGGACTAAGCCATCCTAAAGCACAAAGATTGTGTCTCTGTCGACTGCAGAGAAAAGAGCATTATGCTTCTCTTTCATGTTTAAAAAGCCAACACTGGAGCAGATGACCCAGTGAGAGAGGCCCCGAGCCTGGGTGACCCAGCCGACCTCAGGCTGGTTTCCATACTGCCACAACTTTGTTCAAAGTTGCCCCAAACTGGAACCTGCCACTTGCCATTAGAGGGTCTTTCATGGGGAGAGGAGGAGGCTGAACTACTCTAAGCAAAATGTGAAAAGTAAGGAAGTCAGCCTTTCATCCCGGTCCGTAGCGAAGGTTTTGTTGCGCGCAGGCAAATCCGTGATTTTGGTGCTCTTTGTATCTCAACCCTGCAAAGCAAAGTTACATTGATTTAAGTTGTTTGCATTTGTACTGGCAAGGTGAAATATTTTTATTACCTTTTCTATTACTTATTGTATGAGCTTTTGTTGTTTACTTGGAGGTTCTGTCTTTTACTACAAGTTTGGAACTATTTATTATTGCTTGGTATTTGTGCTCTGTTTAAGAAACGGGCACTTTTTTTTTTTTTATTATGGATAAAATGTTGAGATGACAGGAGGTCATTTCAATATGGCTTAGTAAAATATTTATTGTTCCTTTTATTCTCTGTACAAGATTTTGGGCCTCTTTTTTCCCTTAATGTCACAATGTTGAGTTCAGCATGTGTCTGCCATTCCATTTGTACGCTTGTTCAAAACCAAGTTTGTTCTGGTTTCAAGTTATAAAAATAAATTGGACATTTAACTTGATCTCCAAACCTTGTCCTTTTCTGTGTCTTTCAAGGGTGGGGGATGGACAGCTCATTTCCAAGGGCGAATTGAAGGTCTTCTCCATTTTCCTCTTGACCCACACCCCTGGCGCCCGTATCTGGGAAGACTGGGAACAATGGCCCAAGAGACCGGCAGTTCTCTTTCTTTACTCTCGTAAAGCAGCACGATTTAGATCCGTGGTTCTCAGTCCTGGTTGCACATTGGAGTCACCCGGGAGGGTTTGAAAGTTCCAGTGCCCAGGCCCCACCCGAACCGATCTCTACCAGAATCTGTGGAGGTGGGATCCAGACATCAGTATTTTTGAAAGTGATCCAGGTGATTCTCGTAGACGGCCCCATTGGAGAACAAGTGGTTTAGAAGAGAAGGTACTTGTCTGGGAATGACAAGGCCCGGGTCTAGTTTAATTCTGCTCACATTTTCTGAACACCCAGTGGGAGCCACTGGGTGAGGCACCCAGGGACCAGAGAGAGACAGAAGCCCTTCTGTAAGCACCCAGATGGCTCTGTGGCCTTGGTCAGGTCCCCCAGGTCTCCCATCAGTGAAGTGAGGTTGTTGGACTGGATAGCATCTCTGACTCTCTGTGACTCTTAACAAAATCACCTAGGAGGACTCACTTCCCCTCCCACGGGCTAGATGTTAACAGACTTGAGGAAATGTTCTTTAGGGATAATCACCCAGATCCAGAAGAGGAAACAAGGTCTTTCAGAAGGAACTAGCCTTTAACTTGGCCTTTCCCAGTGCTGGGCCTGGAGCAGTCAGGATGGAGATGGAAGA